CTCCTTTTATGTATGTGTCTGCGCTGCGTATCTCTCCTTTTATGTATGTGTCTGCGCTGCGTATCTCTCCTTTTATGTATGTGTCTATGCTGCGTATCTCTCTTCATTTTATGTATGTGTCTGCGCCGCGTGTCTCTATCTTCCTTTATGTATGTGTCTGCGCTGCGTATCTTTCTCTCTTCCTTTTATGTATGTGTCTGCGCTGCGTATATCTCTATCTTCCTTTATGTATGTGTCTGTGCTGCGTATCTCTCTTCCTTTTATGTATGTGTCTGCGCCGCGTATCTCTCTTCCTTTTATGTATGTGCCTGCGCCGCGTATCTCTCTCTTCCTTTTATGTATGTGTCTATGCTGCGTATCTCTCTCTTCCTTTTATGTATGTGTCTGTGCTGCATCTCTCTCTCCTGTAGCCGATCAGTACTGTGGGGCTGGTTCTGCAGATGATCCATAGGATCAAAGTGAAGCATGACATTATGTCCAGCAGGCAGGTAGGCAGGTTAAACGCCAGGAGAGAGAGAAACATGGAAACTTACCCCGAGCACGGAAGGAAGTGGCTCAGTGGCTGGGCTTCCGATTCAAACTTTATGCAGGCTACTCTTTGCACCTGGATGATGTGGGACTCACATTTCTGTGGAGTTGATCTGGGGAATTGGTCCAACATTCTGGGGGGATGCTGTATGCATGACTGTATGTGTGTATGTGTCTGTGTCTTTAGTAGTGCTTTAAAATAGACAGGCAGCAACTGCTGCTCAGCACTCAGCCTTTTCCCCGGATGGTAGCCGCTGTGTACAGAGGTCGTCTGTCCTGTCTGCCTTCAGGCTGCCTCTCCCTCTCCACTCACTCCGGTGTAATGGCTTTGTGGTCATCCTCAGCACTCTGTGTTGTGCACCAAGAACCATGCAGGTCAAATTAGCCTCTTTATGAGAGTCAGGCTTTCTTTTGCCCATGTGTCCTGAGCTTAATATGAGACATTTAGAGAAGCTCCACAATTGCTGAGGGTTGCAGCTATTAAAGTAACAGTGAGAGTGACGATGGAAGTAATGACGTCCTGTGAAGCGGAACATGCCAATGCTGAAAGGACCCCCGAGTGCTGCCCTCCATCCTCAGTCACGCTCTGGCTCACTACTCCTTCTCTCTCTCTCTCTCTCTCTCTCTCTCGCTCTCTCTCTCTCTCGGTCACACTCACAGAAACCAGGCAATGAGGAAGAAGCTCATCCTGTACTTCAAGAGGAGAAACCATGCCCGTAAACAGTGGGTGAGTAGACCCTTTCGGGGTGGGGAGTGGTGCCGGGCTGTTCTGTGATCATAAGGACCCGGAAGGGGTGGTGGGTGGAGCGGTTGAGGTTTGTTACGCATATGCATGTGGCCAAGCTGGTGTACATTTCAGTCCTGCTCATGGGGGGGCTTCAGTTATGGGGGGGGTGCAAGCCTTCAGCAGGATGTTTATCGAGCACTGAACGCACAGCCAGATCTTCTGAGGAGAGGGATTCAAGGCAAGAAGAGGAGGAAGAGATAAGCCTGGAGAGAGCGAGTTGAAGGAGATAGGAGAGGGAGGAGAAGGTTGGAGGTGTGAGGGAGGTGAAGGAAGGGGGAGAGGGAGGTGAGAGGGAGGAGAATGTGGGAGGGAGGGAGGGAGGGTTGTCCTTTTTTGTTAACATGTGTTCTAGTGAAATAATTAGATGTGAGAGATTTTTATTTCCAGACTCTCATTGTAGAAGATGTTCTACTACTAGATGTTTGAATTTTACATGTGTGTGCGCGTGCGTGTGTGTGAATGCGTTAGTATTAGTGTTTGTATACCTGTTCTGCTTACCTCAGAAATTCTGTTGCTACTAGAGCAGAAAATAACAGTTGGTCTTGCATCATTCGCCTCACTTAGCATGTGAACGTGTTACACGAGCCTGCGGGTGAAACAGGAAATCCACACCTCCCTGCCCTGTGTTTGGTCTGGCCCGACCCATCATGCTGTGCCCGTCTCAGGAAGGAAGTCCCATGTCGGCCCACACCGCCGTGGGTACTGTGTCTTAGGGCAGCGGAAGCGGATAGTTTCACTTCAGTTTTTTTTCCATGTGGTGCCCTTAATGACTCCTGGACTTCCGGTCCCACTCACTCCTGCACTGGTGGCCCCCTCCCGCTCCTACGCTGCCAGCCTCGCCAGTCACTCCTGGATTGTCGGTCCCACTCACTCCTGCATTACTGGTGATCTCAACAAAAAACCCACCTCAGATTTGCTGGTGATCTCAACAAAAAACCCACCTCAGATTTGCTGGTGATCTCAACAAAAAACCCACCTCGGATTTGGTCCGCTTTTACTATCTTAGAAAGAATGGAGGGTAATGAAGGGTTGTAGGGGAAACAGCGGAAAAAAAAATGCAGGTAGAACCAAGTAGCAACTCCATTAAGAAAATCTTGTCTAGTTACTTTAATAAGAAACATTTTTTTTTTTTAAATAGGCCTGTGAATAAAAATAATTAGTCCCAATACTTTTGGAGCTTCTGAACTGTAGCTGTGAAGTATCCTGGGATCAGTGGCACATGTAATTTAAAATGCCTCAGCCACTTTGGATGGAGAGCAGTCAGTTCTGTGGCAGCGTCAGTGGGTTGTCAGCTTTCGCATGTGCTGTGCCAGCGTTTCGTCCAAACCGCTTTGCTGCTATCTCTTATGAGCCGCCAGACTCTGTGTGTTGCTCCAGCACTTCCATGTAGAATCTAACACCGTCTGGCTGTATCATCATCACAGGAAAGCAGCCGGGCAGCTCTGTGACCTCCAGTGTGCGTGAGATGCTGACAACTCTAGGCAGTCAGCATGCATGCCTTACTGAACTGCAGCCATGGTCTTAGTTAAGAAGAGAAGCCTTCTGGTTTTTTTTTTATTATTAAATGGATTTTCTTCGCATGTAACTTTTGCCCGCATGCAGCACAGCAACCTTTATTCGCTGTTTTTGTTTGCTGCAGTCCTGGTCTCAGGGTTCATTCATTTCATTGGGAAAATCATTGCATTTGTTAGAAAGTCTAGAAGGTGTCAACCTCTTGCTCTACCTGACAGCAGGTCTACAGTGAAGGCAAGTTTATTTATAGAGCAAAATTCAGATGCAAGGCAATTCAATGTGATTTACAGAGGCACAGGGATACATTCAAATAGAAGACATTAAAATCACTATTAAAAGATGACAAAAAACAAAATCCTACAACCCAAAACAAGTAAAACAAGAAGTAGTGGCAGTAGCGGAGTATGACTAAACTCCTGGTTATTTAATTTATTGAAAAGCTGTAGCAGTCAGTAACATTTAAAGACATGACAATTGTAGCAGACCTCTGGTCTTCAGGAGGCTTCGACCCCAGTCGGCAGCACAGAGACTGAACCTCTCCCGAACCTCTCCCAGATGACTTCAGGGGTCTGGATGCTTTATAACGCTCAAGTAAATTTGTCATTCTGTTTCTGAGGACCTGGTACCGAGTAGATAAGTGGCAATATCCCTCTGCAAAGTGTTTTTTATGAGCAGTGTAAATATGTACGTTTAGCCTAGTACTAGCGACTTTGGTACTTAATAGTAATTCTCCCCTGTTTAGGTGGCACTGTGACCTCACCACCCCTGCTTGGGGAGGGAATCCCCCCTTCACACTCTCCCCATGCTGCAATGGCTTCCTCTGTGTACTGCTGTCTCATCCTGCATTCTACTGAGGATTATTGGTGTTGCTGTGGGTGTGTGCCATGGGCTGGCCTGTCCGGCCTGGACCCCAGCCTGGTGCCCAGTGCTACCCGTTACAGCCCCAGGCCCCCACTGCCCAAGGCACCCCATCTAGGATAGAAGACAGGCACATGGGTGGCTGACTGATCAACCTGATGCCAACTTGTAGGGCTGTTACTGAAATTAAGTTTATTTTACTCTTTGTCCCATGTAATCTTTATTTCTTTAAAATAATGGATAGTTTGTTATGCTTCTAATATTTCTCAGTCCACCTATAGGACCTATAGGCAGATATTTGTAAATCCAGCCATGGTACGTTGTGACACTCTCAATTCATCACTCCATAATTAAAGCCAAAATCTGAGGCTTCCTTGTTTTTCTCTGAAAAATGAAAAGCAGAGCATGAGTGCAGGGAATGTGTCTGTGGTGGATTTAGACTGCGTTCCCTGATCATTTAGCACCTTGCTCGTGTAGCTCCTCGTAACTGCCGGCCTTTTAGGCACCATGCTGGAATGATATTTATCTTAGGGGAAAAGTGAATATAGAAGGCTCCCAGTGGAGACCTGCTCACTTGTCCAAGAAGTCGACGACGGTCACACAGACTCTGTAAAGTGCACACATTCATATTTTGTGGTTTAACCAAAAGCAGTTTATCAGCATTGATACGGTAGATATCTCACTGTTGTTCATCGGGTGTCTCGAACAGCAGCCTGATCCCTTAAATGTAGTCTGGGGGTGGAAGCAGCATCTGTGGAGTCCTTCACTGAGGAACAGAGAGCAGCATTCAGGCTGGGAGATGAGCTCAGTCTCAGAGGTGCTTTGCCTCTACTGAGCTGCACATTAGCAGTGCCGGCCGGCTCATGCTAACCCACACGCCGCGATCACACTTGCTTTTGTCGGCCTCCTACTGCCACGTCTCTCACACATACCGAGGGCCAGACCAGCGCTGTGGCTGAGAGCGGGCTGGCTTTGGTCTGGAGCCGGGGAGGTGGCTCGTCGGGGCAAGCTGAGCTGATTGCTGTGCTCCTGCTCCTCTTTCCCCTTCAGGAGCAAAAGTTCTGCCAGCGCTATGACCAGCTGATGGAAGCCTGGGAGAAGAAGGTGGAGCGCATTGAGAACAACCCACGACGCCGGGCCAAGGAGACCAAGGTGCGGGAGTACTACGAGAAGCAGTTCCCTGAGATCCGCAAGCAGCGTGAGCTGCAGGAACGCATGCAGAGGTGAGGGGCAGCCCGCTCACGCATGCGACCTTTTGCAGAGTGTGTGCTGGCGCAGCGCTGACCGTGGAGGGCCTCCTCTCTCCAGCAGGGTGGGGCAACGTGGGGGGGGGCTGTCATCTTCAGCTGCCCGAAGTGAACATGAGGTTTCTGAGATCATCGACGGCATCTCTGAGCAGGAGGTAAGAACCCAAGTCTTATGCCAGAGGAGTAACCAGTGCAGTTATCGGCTTCACCACCAGTCACTTCCCCATTCACTTCCTCATTTCCCCATGAACTTTCACATACTGTACTAGAAACACTCATGCCTGGCCGTGTCTTGTATCCTGGCACATGATGAAATCTTGCAGTGTTGTTATTATTATTATTGCTGCTGCTGCTGTCATACTGCTAGGGTGTCATTTTTACACCATCTTTGCCAATACATGGTGTGTTTTCCCTGGGCGATTTCCTTCCTGCTCTCCCGGCTCACGCCCCAGAACTCAGAGAAGCAGATGCGCCAGCTGGCAGTAATCCCACCCATGCTTTTCGACGCCGAACAGCAGCGCATCAAGTTCATCAACATGAACGGCCTAATGGACGACCCCATGAAGGTGTACAAGGACCGGCAGGTGATGAACATGTGGAGTGAGCAGGAGAAGGACACCTTTCGAGAGAAGTGAGTGACCTGGTGCTCAGTGTACAGCTTGTGTGAAAAGTTACAGCCTGTCCCTGAAATCTGTGTATGCGGATGGGCTACAACCTGTCACTGAAATCTGTGTTTGTGGATGGGCTATGACCTGTCACTGAAATCTGTGTTTGTGGATGGGCTATGACCTGTCACTGAAATCTGTGTCTGGGGATGGCCTATGGCCTGTCACTGAAATCTGTGTTTGTGGTTGGCTATGACCTGTCACTGAAATCTGTGTCTGGGGATGGCCTATGGCCTGTCACTGAAATCTGTGTTTCTCACAATAAATTCTGTATATGGGGCTGGGCTAAGACCAGGTTTAAAAGAGCAGTATGAGGATTGGTCATAGAGCTGAGCAATTATTCGAATTTGAATCACGATTACAAATATGGCTTCCCATGATTATGAAAAAATGATGATCAAGATAAACGATATTTGTTTGTATCTCGTATTGAAATGTTGCCCTACTTTATCTTGCGCAATAAATCCAGATTAGCACACTAATTTTTCAGTGGTGCGCTTTGCCCCTCCCTAAACGCTACTAGTGAATTCCCCACAGCGCAGCAATAAAAACGCGTTCACGGTTGAAATGGCAGGACGGGTACCTTTGGTCAATAAGAGGTAAACGCACATCAGTTATTTGGAATCATTTTGGTTTCAAGGAATCTCACCAATAACAAATAATTTGCAGAATATGTTTCAAAGCTGTGTCTGCACCACAAGGCATCACGACAAATTTATTTAACCACTTAAAGCTTAATCATGAAGTGGTCTATGACCAAGCAGTACGTGAACAAAAAACTCAGAAATGTGAGGCAAGCTCATCAACTCGTACTGCAATGCAGTTATTTGTTAAGGACACCATATAATGCAAGCGCGTATCCATCAAGTTCTCAAAAACACCGAGATATAATGGATGCCATCACATAAGAGAAGGGTCTTCAGCACAGCTGGAAACATAGTCTCCTGCCACCGTGCATCACTGAAGCCAGATCATGTAAACAGATTAGTTTTTCTTGCTAAAAATCTTTAAGTTGCATTTTTTATTTCAGTGGACTAAGTAGTGGACTCTAATATGTATAGCTGGGGGGCAAAATCAAGTGTTTTTGAACCTGAGAGAACAGTTTATCTCAGCGTAATTTATTTATTCATTTAATAACATGTTATCTTATTAAAACTTTATTTTTGTTTCAATTTAATTTCAATGTAAGTTTATGTTACTTTATTAAGATTCAATAAATTAAATGTTTCTGCAGTCAAGAGTAAACGTGGGAAATAATCATGATCGCCATATTGGTCAAAATAATCGTGATTATGATTTTTGCCACAATCGAGCAGCTCTAGTTGGTCATGTCTTAAGACATGGGCTGCAGTTGTTTCTGGTCAGTCATTGGAAGCTTAGTTTAGCACCAAAGTTGGCCCTTAGTTATCATCTGTCCCCTGTAAAGTTTGGTGGAGGAGGGATAACGGTATGGGGTTGTCTTTCAGTGGATGGGCTAGGCTTCTTGGTTCCAGTGAAGGGAACTCTTAATGCTTCAACTTACCAAGACATTTTAGACAATTATATGCTTCCAACTTTGTGGGAACAGTTTAGGCCCTTTTCTGTTCCAGCATGTACCCCAGTGCACTAGGGGTGGCACGGTTCACAAAACTCACGGTTTTAGGGTCACGGTTTTCGGTTCTGTACGGTTCTTGTTATTTTTTCTTTTAATCTTTAACACTCCA